GTACAATGGAAATTCAAGGAAAACACATCTTAAGTCACTCTGAAATAAGATATTGGAGCACTCCAAATCATTTGCCCGTGCACAGAAAATCTAGCTGAAAGGCAGCTTTCCACTCCTGGCACAGGGCACGGGCTTGGGAGATCTGTAATGATCATTGCAATACATTCCCAGCTATTATTACTGGAGAATTAGAAGATTATTGAGGGGGGAAGGATGAGAGTATCCTGGAGGGAGCCCGTATTTCTGGATTTGCCACTACACTACTGCTTGGAGGAAGCAGAGTCCCACTTGCCCTAATGGACTGGCCACGGGAAGGTCTTCTAAGAGTAGATCTCCTCCATATCACACTAGAAGAGTAACTCAAACCAGTCAGAATTCACCACAGGAATTTGCAATCTACAGCAACAGAAGCAAACAAGTGGGATATGGGGCATCATAGCAGCAACACACCTTGGGAACCGGGGAGGGGCAGTGGGGCGGAGCCAACCTCTGCTCCCAGTTTCCGCCTCTGTATATACGGGAAGAGGAAAGGGGAAAGGACAGCGAAGTCAGAGAAGAAATGTAGAAATGACTCACCTTGATTGAACCACTCCTCTAATAACCACAAAAGCAGCCAAAGAAGAAAAAAGAAACAAACGTTTTCAAGAGGAAAGCGAGAGGGGGGAAACAGACGAACAATCAGTTGCAGGATTTTCACAGAACAGCTTCAAAACCCGAGAGCTACAGGTAAATAGCAACTCTGAATTCCTGAAGAGAGGGAAAACACACACTTGCCCCCATGGCGTATACCACACTCATTACTTTCAAAAAAGGAGAGTCCACTTTTCTCTGTTTGATTTTGAGAGCCAGTGTGGTATAGTGGTTAAGAGTGGTAGATTCGTAATCTGGTGAACCGGGTTCGATTCCCCGCTCCTCCACATGCAGCTGCTGGGTGACCTTGGGCCAGTCACACTTCTCTGAAGTCTCTTAGCCCCACTCACCGCACAGAGTGTTTGTTGTGGGGGAGGAAGGGAAAGGAGAATGTTAGCCGCTTTGAGACTCCTTCGGGTAGTGATAAAGCAGGATATTAAATCCAAACTCTTCTTCTTCTTCTACAAAATCAAAAAGAGCTTGGGTGGGGTGGGGTTGAAGTAGGCTAAGCTCCTATGCCAAGGAAAGCGTGGTGCCCTCTGGATGTGATTGTGCTACAGTTCCCAACAGCCCTAGCAAGTATGACCCAACAATCAGGACTGACTGGAGTTTTGGTGCAGCAAGTTCTGGGGGACACCACCAGCAGAACAAGAACAAATATATCACTAAGTGACTTTAACCCTCTCCTGTCCTCTCCTCTCCGTTTTTGCAGTGAATTGTTTTGTTGAGTCAAAGGAGAGACTTGTGATAGTGGTTAGTGGCTGAGAATTGGAGATTCTGGAGTAGTTGTGTGAATGGTGTGTTTGTAAAAAGGTGAAAGGTAAAGATAAAGGACCCCTGGATGGTTAAGTCCAGCCACAGGCAACTATGGGGTTGCGTCACTCATCTCGCTTTCAGGACGAGGGAGCTGGCGTTTGTCCGCAGACAGCTTTCCGGGTCATGTGGCCAGCAGGACTAAACTGCTTCTGGTGCAATGGGACACTGTGACAGTAGCCAGAATGCACGGAAACTCCATTTACCTTCCCGCCACTGTGGTACCTATTTATCTACTTGCATTGGCGTGCTTTCAAACTGCTAGGTTGCCAGGAGCTGGGACAGAGCAACGGAAGCTCACTCCATTGCGGGGATTTGAACGGCCAATCTTCCGATCGGCAAGCCCAAGAGGCTCAGTGGTTTAGACCACAGCGCCACCCGCATTTGTGCATACTGTGAGTGCATGTGAGGTGTGGGTGTGCATACTGTGAGTGCATGTGAGGGTGCATGTGAGGTGTGGGAGTAGAAAAGGAAGAGTGGTAACGGAATGAGTCGTACAATTTCATGTACAATTTCATGTAGATTTAAGGCAGAATTTGGGGGTGACGTGTAGCGTTTTGTGAGCCACAACGTGCTTTGCCAAGAGGGAGGCTGAAGCAGGAAGGGATCCATGACTCTAAAGACGTTTCAAAACGCTCTGCTCTGTTGTCAGTTTTTAGGAATGTATTGTTTCGATCACAGTTTTATTTAATATTGCAATGCATTGCATTCTATCCTAGTTTCTCAGTTCCGTTGTTGTATATATTTTATTTTGCTATTCTGCAGCCTGCTTAATGGGACTGCCTAAAGTGTATATCAATAAATTAAATAAAGAAATCAAATCATAAACCTAGTGCTATATTGGGTACAACTCTAGGCTCTGTGTGAGCTCCCAAGTGCAATCTGCTGCTTCTGATCCTGTATTCCTGCCTTCGAATCTTCTCCACCGGCTTCCCTCTCACCCTTTAACACAACTGTGCTCAAACGTACACACACACTCAGGGCCAATATACCCTCACACGACAGAAACAGAGTCAGTGTGTTAAAAGGCCCATGGATCAGAGATATGAAACAGCTGTTTACAAAGGTCAGGGTGATGGAAATACATGGGTGTTACATACCAATGGATCTTTATTGTATAACATTCTTAACATTCGGTAGCCACCAGGCCTGTTCTGAACAGATTAGGTTAAAAGCTTGTGACGTACCAGAGACTGACCCTGATTTAGATGTGTAATACAAACCACACCTCCCATTGTGTCTTTTCTCTTTCATTTAATATGCTGGGCCAACCTGGTCCAACAGGTGTGCAGAGATTCCTGAGTGTTGGGTTACTGGGGCTTGCATGGGCCTCACTCCCCAGCCTCTAGTTCATCATCTTCTATGCCATTATTCATTAAACCGCCCATATCATAATGCTGTTACACTAATCTATGGCCGAACGCACTCGGAATACAGGATACAGGTCTGGTCGCCTTGTTACTGAAGGAAAGGTTCAGAAAAGGAAAACCAAGATGATCAAGGGATTGGGGCGACTCCCTTAGGAGGAAAGGTTATGATACCTGGGACTTTTTAGTTTAGAAAAAAAGGCAAGTAAGCGGGGGCATGATAGAGGTTCACGGGTTGTCCCATGAAGCTGACTGTTGGAAGGTTCAGAAGAAAGAGACAGAAGTGCCTCTTCAAATGGAGCAGGTCAGGGGACAGCTACACACACACACACACACACACACACACACACACACACACACCAGGGTCCAAGTGCAAAAGGCTGGCCCTCGGACAAGCTGGGTTGTACGATGAGAACACAAGCATTTTGCTTCTGGCTTTCAGTTATGGCTGGTACCCACTGGTAGGGCAGGAGGCAGGGAGGCGAACAGTAGGTGGCGCCAGAGCCAATGAGAGGCTGAGCCAACTGCCGGTAATTCTCGTTTTGCACACGGCCTCCTCCCTGCTGAGTTCTGAAAGGGCAACATTGAGAAGGAAGGAGGAGGAAGAAGATGGCAAGTAAGTGCCCCTCCTTGACTCATAAACAAGAAGGCAGGTGGGATTGGAGAACTCAAGAGTGAGGTTGGTGGGGATGTGCCCTGTTTGCCCCAATGGAGCAGACTCCATTGCTTTAGGGTCGCAGCAACACAAACCTTTGGCCTTCTTTCCTCCAAAGCAGCCCGCGTCGTCCTTCTTCTTCTTCTGAGTTCCTCCCAGGCCTCCAAGTTGATTTGCTTCTAGCTCCTGGAATTTGTCAGCTCCCGGGACTTCTTTGTGGACATGGTAAGAGAGATTCCTCATGATGCACACACAGTTCTCCACAGACTGCGGCAAGGCGGTTGCCCAAAAAGAGGGGGAGGGGGAGAGGAAAAGCCATCAGACTGGTCAACAATTATCTTACACCACTGAAGATGCGAAAAACAAGCAGACATAGGAAATTGCTTAAACCAGGTGAGACTATCTGCTCAGTATGGCGTACGCCAGCCGTTTTCCAACCTGGTGCCTTCCAGCGGTCTTTGGACTGCAATTCCCATCAGCCACAGCAAATGTGGAAGGGGCTGATGGGAGCTGTAGTCCAAAACATCTATAGGGCACTGGGTTGGAGAGGGTTGTGCCAGCATGACACAGTCAGTGGCTCTCAGGGAGAAATGGAGCCATTCCCATCCTTTAAAGCCCTAAACGGCCTCGACCAAGTATACCTGAAGGAGAGTCTCCATCCCCATCGTTCTGCCCGGATGCTGAGGTCCAGCGCCGAGGGCCTTCTGGAGGTTCCCTCATTGCGAGAAGCAAAGCTACAAGGAACCAGGCAGAGGGCCTTCTCGGTAGTGGCACCCGCCCTGTGGAACACCCTCCCATCAGATGTTAAAGCAATAAACAACTACCTGACTGACATTCAGAAGACAACTTAAGGCAGCCCTGTTCAGGGAAGTTTTTAATGTGTGATATTTTAGTGTATTTTTGGTCTCTGTGGAAGCCGCCCAGAGTGGCTGGGAAAACCCAGCCAGATGGGCGGGGTACAAATAATAAATTATTATTATTATTAAATCTTTTTTCCTTTTTCTTTTTTGCAGGGGTGCCGTAAAATGAACCCGGGACCTTATGCGAGAAAAGCAGCTTCACTACAACTGAGTTTTGTTCCTTCCCCTAATGAACAAAACCTCATCAAGGGAAGCCAACTGCAAATTTTTAAGCACCCGTCCCCCCCCCCCTTTTGCTGCAGCTCAGTGATGGAAAACATACATTTATGCAAGAGGCCCCCCTAGGTTCAGTCTGCAGCTAATGAGTCTCTCGGGAGGCAGAAAGGCCACTGCCTCAGACTCCAGAGCAGGGTCATTCATCAGGGGCTTGGCAGGAGTCGAGGAAGAACAAAAAGAGCATCAAAATCCCATAGGGTACCCCCACCCCACCCGGAAACGGGCTCCTCCACCCATCCACCCACCCCATTCAACCAAATCTCCGCTGAATGTCCTAGCTGGGAAAAAGAGAGACCCAGCATGTTATGAGTCTTGTTCCTTCGGCACAGAGGCCAATGACCAACAACAGTCGGGGTTGGGACTGTGGCACAACATCTGCTTTGCATGCAGGTGGTCCCAGCCTCAGCCTGCATAGCTCCGTTGGTTAGAGTATGGTGCAGATAATGCCAAGGTTGCAAGTTCAATCCCCGCGTGGGGCAGCTGCATATTTCTGCATTGCAGGGGTGGGGTTGAGCCAGGGTCTCGTACAATTCTATGGTTCTGTGATTCTAATTCCCCCAGCATTGCTCAGCAGAGCTGGGAAAGACTTCTGTATGATACTGCGGAAAGCTGTTACCAGGGGTGAGGGGTGGGGTAGGTACAAGCAGTGCCAGATTTATGCTTGTACCTATAGCTTAGGGCCCCACTCTCTTGGGGGGGGGCAAAAAAAAATCCAAAGGGAAAAAACCTGCATGTACATTTCCAAAATATAAGATAAAAAACAAATAAAATAAAACCTACATACAGCAACAGTGTTTTGTGGTGTGTAGGCTCCTATGAGTAAGTAATGGGCCCCGCCTGCTAGCCTGCTCCCTAAAATATCACTGGTTTGCTATATATATATATAACCTATATATAGGGTACCTACATTCTGCATGGACTGTTTGCATGGCAACATGTGCAAATGGCTTTAGATATCTATTAGGTCCTTAAATGACCATATCACATATAAAGGTAAAGGTAAAGGTACCCCTGCCCGTACGGGCCAGTCATGTCCAACTCTGGGGTTGCGCGCCCATCTCGCTTAAGAGGCCGGGGGCCAGCGCTGTTCGAAGACACTTCCGGGTCACGTGGCCATGTGACAAGCTGCATCTGGCGAGCCAGCGCAGCACACAGAAACGCCGTTTACCTTCCCGCTGGAGAGGTACCTATTTATCTACTTGCATTTTGACGTGCTTTCGAACTGCTAGGTTGGCAGGCGCTGGGACCGAGCAACGGGAGCGCACCCCGCCGCGGGGATTCAAACCGCCGACCTGACGATCGGCAAGTCCTAGGCGCTGAGGTTTTACCCACAGCGCCACCCGCGTCCCTTTTATATCACATATATTCAACACAAAAAACTGTCAATTTGCTGTTGACAAAGGACAGCTGGACAATACAGTGATACCTCAGGTTAAGAACTTAATTTGTTCTGGAGGTCCGTTCTTTACCTGAAACTGTTCTTAACCTGAAGCACCACTTTAGCTAATGGGGCCTCCTGCTGCCGCCGCGCCGCCGGAGCACGATTTCTGTTCTCATCCTAAAGCAAAGTTCTTAACCTGAAGCACTATTTCTGGATTAACGGAGTCTGTAACCTGAAGCGTCTGTAACCCAAGGTACCACTGTATAAAGGGCCCCATTAATTTCAGTAGCTTAGGGCATCACCAAACCTAAGTCTGGCCCTGGGTGGATGCGCCTACCAAACTCCACTGTTTGGGAAGAAAATACATTTATGCCTGTCAATAACAGCAGTCCAGTATTCATCGGTGGTGGCTGGTGCCCATTAGGATGGGTGGGGTGGAAAGCAGGGAGCCCTACGGTAGACTGAGTCAGAACCAATGACAGGCAGAGCCAAATTTTTCTAGTTTTCATAGAATCATAGAACTGTAGAGCTGAGAGTCATCTAGTTTTGCAACGCAGGAATCCCAACTGAAGCATCTGCGATGTCTCCCTGCTCCTCCTTGCTGAGCTCTACAAGGGCAACATGGAGACTAAGGAGGAGGAATCACAGAATTGTAGTGCTGGAAGGGACCCCAAGGGCTGTTTAGTCTATCCCCCTGCAATGCAGGAACGCCAGCTCAAGAATCCGTGACAGGTGGCCCTCTAACCTCTGCTTAGAGAACCCACCACCTTCCAATATAGCCTGTTCCGCCGTCAAACAGGCTCTTGATGTCAGAAATCTCTTCCTAATGTTTACTCAGAATCTCCTTTCTTGTGATTTGAATCTACTGGATCGGGTCCTACCCTATGGAGCAGGAGAGGGTAGAAGCAGGGGGAAGCTGATCACCAGCACACACCCTGGACTGGTTGTAGTAGTAGTAGTAGTAATATTTATACCCCAGCCACTCTGGGTGGCTCCCAAGAGAATATTAAAAACGCAATAAAACATCACACATTAAAAACTTCCCCAAACAGGGCTGCTTTCAGATGTCTTCTAAAAGTCAGATAGCTGTTCATTTCCTTGACATCGGATGGGAGGGCGTTCCACAGGGCGGGTGCCACCACCGAGAAGGCCCTCTGCCTGGTTCCCTGTAACCTCACTTATCACAGTGAGGGAACCTCCAGAAGGCCCTTGGAGCTGGACCTCAGTGTCAGGGCTGAACGATGGGGGTGGAGACGCTCCTTCAATATGGAGGAAGCCAGTATGTGGGGGCTGGCTGCAGGCAGACAAAGCTAGGTGGGTCAGTGCCCCGATTCCTCCTAATGGACCAGCTTGCACTGAGATAAATGCTTTCCTGTAGCAGGCCTGGCTGCCTTTTAAGCTTCTGTGAATACAAGCATCTTTCAAGCCAGCAGATGTTCCCAGCTAGACCTCGCCCCCTCACCTTCAATGCATCCTGTACTTCCCCTACATCAAGAAACTCACATTTGCTTAAGCCAAAGTGAGTTTCTATTCACACCAGCACCAGGCAGCAGAATCACCTTGTTATCTGTGTCTTTCTTGCCCACCGCAGACTGCAGGGCATGAAGGAGGGCGTCTACCAAGCCGTCGCATTCCCGGAGCCTCCTGCGTGCTTCCGCTCCATCCGAACTGACGTTCCTGCAAAACGAGAGGTAGGCAAACGTTACAAGCCATAATCTCCACATAGCAAAATTAAGCCAAGCCCCTCGCACCCTCCTGCGTCAATTACAGACATTAAGAACCTAATGATCTTGAATTAACCAAGACGCACACAAAAGATCATCTTGCGAACCAACAGGGAACCACAGCTTCTGTATTGCATGATAAGTAGAGCTTCAGCTTGCAGCTCTGCAACACACCCAGGAGCTCTTGGCAGGACTGGCCCACCCGTTGGACAAGGTGAGGAAACTGCCTTGGGCAGCAGAAACCACAGGGGTATCAGATCCGGCCTCTGGGTGTAGATCTTCACTCCCTCCTTCTCCCTGACGTGTATCTTTATTCCCCCCTTCTCAAAGAAAACCCAAGAGAGAATCTTGAACTGAATGTCAGTGGTGGTTCGGTAAAAGTGACTCGCTGACTTGAGCAAGCTGAATCTAAGAGTAACCCCAGGAAGCTTTCGGGTTTGTTTTCATTTCGGCTGCATTTTAAATGGGAGTATATTTTTAATCCATGTTTTATGTCTGTGCCAACAAGCGTTTTCTTGTATTTGCATTGGCCTGTGGCTGAAAGCCATGAATATTTATTGGATAAGACACAGTTTCCTATGTTCTCGTCCTGTAAAATTCCAGAGTTCCCCACCTGTCAAAATAAGTATAATAGCAAAAGTGTTTAACAGGTGGTTGTTGCAATGTTAAAGGCAAAAGACCCTCTATATATTGGCACAGTCTTCTCCAGACAGGTGACCTTCAGGTGGGTTGGAATACAATGCCTATCGGCTGGAAGCACCAACGCTTTGCTAGCTGTGCTAGATGGAAGTTGTAGTCCAAACTGTCTGGATGGCACCAGGTTGGGAATGAATACATTAGCAGATAACCTTTTTTCAAAAGAAATAGCCATCTTGTTTTACGCGTTTTGAAAAGGAATCTATAGTTTGGATTATAAACCATAGCCTGAAATAGATACAGTGGTACCTCGGGTTACATACGCTTCAGGTTACAGACTCCACTAACCCAGAAATAGTGCTTCAGGTTACGAACTTTGCTTCAGGATGAGAACAGAAATCGTGCTCCGGCAGCACGGCGGCAGCAGGAGGCCCCATTAGCTAAAGTGGTGCTTCAGGTTAAGAACAGTTTCAGGTTAAGAACGGAGCTCCGGAACAAATTAAGTACTTAACCCGAGGTACCACTGTAGTGGAAATCCATCAGCAATAATAAACAGAAATCCACCACATAGTTAAGCACACTCATGTACCATTGAGTGTAAGCAGGCATAGGCAAACTCCGGCCCTCCAGATGTTTGAGACTACAATTCCCACCATCCCTAGCTAACAGGACCAGTGGTCAGGGATGATGAGAATTGTAGTCCCAAACATCTGGAGGGCTGGAGTTTGCCTATACCTGGTCTAATGGGAATGGTGGAATGCACCACATTCAATTTCACATTTTTCCACAGTAAAATCTGGAGGAGGAGGAGAATAAGACACCATACAGTGTGTGTTTTCTAGAAACAGCTGGATGGCCCTTGATCTAAACTGCACGGTGAAGCTGGCAGCTAAGGTTAAATTTTAGGCAGCCTAACCCAATGGTAGGAAGCATTTGGTTTGTGGGATTTTGAGTGTCCCCAATCTTTAAAGCCACTAGTCCTCATGATTGAAAAAATACATTTGAGACTGAGAATGCAAAAGCAGCAAAAGGGAGATGAAGAAGCTGGCAAAGGGAATGGAGGAACAATGAGTGGAAGTGATGTAATTCCTGGGTCAACGGAGGCGGCGTTTGAAGCACGACAGTCCAGCCCATCCTCTTTCTATTTGGCCAGGTATCATCTCCACACACCGGCTGATTCTCTGGAATGATATTTGATACAGATGCGTCATGGCTGGCATAACAACAGGTTGTGTGCTGTTCTGCCTGGAACCTGCATCCTGACAGGTAGTTCAGTCTGCTTCTGTATTGCCCGTCAAGACCCTGAGCCCTCCCCCATTTGCTGAAAAATAAGACACATGGACACCAGTATTTTAGGTTAATGGGGTAATTAAGGCCACAACTTCATTGGTTACAGAATGTGAGTGGTATTGGCTTAGGCATTGGAATTGAACCGACTCTATCTGACTCCTGCCCGCCATGTAGGTAGTACAGTAAGGGTCAACCACTGGTAGGAGGAGCCCTGTACATCAACTGAGAGCTCCCCTGGGGCCCCCGATGGGGTCGTGGCATGGCCCTAGCCCATCCCTGGACTTTGGACGAGATCCACACCCCCGGATCCCTTTAACGGAATACCCTTAAAAAGGAAGGGCATAACCCTCCCATAAACCAGGTTTTACCAGTGCCTAACTGGCAAACCTTAAAGTTGTGACAATTGCTACCAGGCAGGTGAAAACCACATGGTTGGTGCCAATTTGCT